TCTGTTTTGTTTTGTGGTTTAAGATTAATTTTGGCTTGAGCAACATAATGGGTTCTTTAAGCGATATTTAGCTGTATGATCATTATTATCTATTACAAATATAAATGTAAAAAACTAAATCAAATATGACTAAAACCAGTGTTTAAAAATATCCATGATAAAGGGACAGTCAAATGTAAAGACAACTTTCCCAATAACCTAGGTCAATATTTAAAGTATGTTCGCGAGTTAAGGCAGATCGACTTCCTCGTATCGCAGTAATTGCTGACCTAATCAGTGCGAAAGACAGTTTACAACGCATCCACGCTAGCGTGATGCCATATTGCAGCTTTCTCTGCAATATGGCAACACGCTATGATTCTCGCTAGGTATATGATGTTAGCGTTAATGCGCGAAAAATATTTTTACTTCAAAGCATGGACTGAAATTAAAAGCTTTTACAGGACAATGACGTGCTGTTTCGATAATAGATGTCATCACTACAATAAATAAGCTTATTAAAATACACACGTCAAATTTCAATGTAACTAAGACGTACATGATAGTGCAAATAACAAACAACAGGTGAAGCGTGAAAGCAATATATCACTAAAAAAGAGAAAAGCATTTTTAAAGAAAAAATTATGTCATTCTTCAAATTTTATGATCTTAAAATACATAGAACTTATGTTTAAAAAAATATGGTGAGGAATAAAATTTCATTAAAAGATATATAGTATAAGAGTGTTTAACAAAAATGCAGGCATAACTCATAAGGTCATAAACAGGTTTTCAAACTCCACAGTGATCATGAAAAAACAACAAAGTAACACCTACAGCTGAGAAAAATCTTCAACCTGAAGAATTATAGCTTCCTCAATCATTAGGTTTAGTATTTCATGAATAATATAAAATGACACCTGTCATCTTCTTTCGTTCATTTTCTTATAATACATAGCAATTAACGAAAATTATTTAAATTGAGACAAAATGTACAAGGCGTGAATTAAACTATAGCATGCAATCATACTAAAACCATTTGCTATATTCTTTCTTACTATATTCGTTCAACTCACCTTCGTTGAGTTTGTACAGTACCGGGTTTGTGACCGGTATAACCACGGATGTGGCGATAAAACACGGATGAGAGAATAAAACACGGATGTGGGGATAAAACAAGGATGAGGGAATAAAACACGGATAAAACACGGATTTGGGGATAAAACACGGATGAGGGGATAAAACACGGATGTGGGATAAAACAAGGATGTGAGGATAAAACACGTGTGAGGGGATAAAACACGGATGTGGGGATAAAACACGGATGTGAGGATAAAACACGGATGTGGGATAAAACACGGATGAGAGAATAAAACACGGATGTGGGGATAAAACAAGGATGAGAGAATAAAACACGGATAAAACACGGATGTGGGGATAAAACACGGATGTGGGGATAAAACAAGGATGAGAGAATAAAACACGGATGTGAGGATAAAACAAGGATGAGGGAATAAAACACGGATCTGGGGATAAAACAAAGATCGAAGGGATAAACCAGGGATATTCTTAAAATTTTATTTCTTTTCAAGTGGCGGTGTTTAGCAAATTAACATGAAAACATTTTGCATCAACATTGTATGCTTTTGTTTAAATTGCTCCAAGTGCCAAATTGTAGGAAAGTAAAACCTAAATATTTAAAACATCACCCAAAACCGTGTCTATATAATGTCGTAAGTTGCAAGTTAAATAATGTCGACAAAACGATCGATCTGAGCCATCATTGACAGAAACATTGACAAGAAGACCACGATGAAAAAGTAAGACGTGAAACGTCGACAAACGTAGAAATGCTAAGGAACTTTAGTATAATGCTCTTGTACGAACCGAGTGAAACCAAATCAAGTCACGTGTTTAGATGGGATTAGTTCACGTTTGAATTTATTAAGGAATGTCACAAATTAGACGCTAATTCTGAAAAAAGCGATAGCCAGTGATGTTTATGAGCTCATTTGCAATGAAGATAAAGTGGAAATGCAGAAACTTTTATGTTATGTGGAAAAAAGGCATTTAACAATGCATTCCTTTGGACACGACTCAGCTTTCATTCGCTTACCCTTTCTTTAAAAATTGATAGTTTAATGCAAATTACGACAAACACAAGCAAAAAATGCGCTCTACACGATTCGCACTAAATAAAAACAAAGACAAAAGTTGTAATGAATAATTTATTTAAATCACGCCACCAGAATGCCGGCTCCGCCAACTTCTTTAATTTTTCTTCTGCCTTGCGGCTGAAAAATTTTGCCTTTATAATTACTGGTTGTTTGGGCAGTAAGCCTTTTCCAAGTACCTTGAAATAGCCCTAGAAATAAAATAATTACCAACAACAAAATTTTTCCGAATAGTATGTTTATAAAACTTCAAATAAAAAAAATCCACAGAAATATAACACAATTAATTTTGAACATAAATTGGTTGAGGAGCATCACAGTTAAACAGTTAAATGTGAAAAAGTCGTGTAACAATGTTTTTACATTTAAGAAATAAAAGATGTTTACTGTGTTTGCACAGGCTTATGCAAACCGAGGAGACCTTTGACCTTTGGGAGAACTCGAGAGTTGATCAGTGCAAGCCCGAGACCGAAGGTCAAGGTTTGCACATACTCGAGAGTTCTCACAAACGTCTCCGAGGTTTGCATAAGCTCAATGCAAACTGAAACATCTTTATTTCTTTATAAAATAAAACAATGCGAAAGATAAACATTTTAATTTTTCCTCTAAAATGTATTCGAGATCGATTTGCAAATTCTCTTTGACCGATTGATTGTTTTGATTGGTTGAGCTCAGATGTGTTCTGCACAGGCTAATGCAAAAACAGCTTTAGACCAATCACTGCACGCGTTTCATTGTTTTTATTTGACAAAATAAAATGATAAACATTATGCATCATGAATCTACTATACTATCAGCAATTTTATCATTTGCAATTCGGCGGTGCTTAAGCCTCGATGATTTAGAAATATGAAAATGAATTCAGTAAATTCGGTGCTGTATATAATACAGCATTTAAGTTATTTCATATTGTCTTTACCCATTTCTACAATTTCTTTTAAGACAAATTATTGTGTTGGGATAAAACGCCAAATAGACCAATGAAATACACGATTTGTTCTTTGCTAATCCTCAAGAACAAAATTTTTAACACTAACAGCTCTGACAACGTCAATAACAGGTGCAAAACCATCTTTCTTCTCTCTGTAGTATTCTATAGTTTGCTCACTGACCAATGACCAGATTTTGTCCAAGTTGATAGTAGGACAATGATATTTATTCCTTGTTAAATGAAAAATCGCATTCCAACTTTGCGTATTTGTGTGGTGTATGACAATGAAATAATAGTTATGTCAATGAAAACTGTCCTTGCATAACGATAAAATATAAACAAATCATTTTGCTCGAAGCATTATCCTAAGGAAATTGTAGACTGTTACCTTTATTTCTCACGTTTTGTGAATCGTGATGTAAGATTTTTCTGTATTGAAACATTTCTATAGGTATTGATTCCTTTTTTATTGGATGTATTTTATGCTGTTCTCTTTTCCATGATAGCCGAGGACTTTCTTTTGTAGGATTCTTGAAAATTAACAGAGCTCAAAAGGTCAAAAATATTTTATGCAATGTTGCTCGATAAATTTTATTATTGCTTCCAGTAACTACGGTGGAAATTAGTCATTATAAAAACACCTGATGTAAATTAAAGTTGCATGTGTTTATACACTTGGACTGACAAATTATTCCTCCCCCCTCCGAAAAAAATGCTGTTATTGAAACTATCCTCAGTACATTCATTGGCCAGACAACAAGATCACTGCATTTTTATGCATTTTCTTCATGGTGCGCTTTAGTCTGTTTGTCTGTTGTCTGATTTAGTTTGTAAAAATAAGGAGTCTGCAGAAGTTGCAAAATTTTCAATGCCATAAATCTTCCTTGTCTTGTATGAGTTGTAAACACCCATGTGCAATTTGCCTTTTCATGCTTTACTCTCTGACAATTCATATTGCAACCAGTCTGCGTCCATGATGTTTATGTTTCAGGAAAAAACAAGCTATAACTAGCAAAGCATTGCCTAGCTATTTTGAAATCCAGTAGTGTAGCCAGCCCGATTTTTACCCCAGTAATGCTAATATTCTTGTCATGGACCGTAAGAAAAATAGATTTGTAATGTAATAATTGATTGTAAATCTTTCAAAATTTGTATATTAGGAATAAATCAGCAGGCTGGCTACATAACTGTTGAAAACTACCACAGCTTGTGTTTGTACACTTGGACTGACAAATTATTTCAAAAATAGTCCAGTGTTCATGAGAGATAAACTTGTCATTTGTCATTGTTTATTTCTAAAATTTCGCAAACATATTTTGGAATGCTTCATTGATTAAAATATTCAAGGAAAAATATCGTATTTACTTTAGGCTCGAGAACTATTCAAATGTGCAGAAATAGCGAGGACGCCACTGCCACAACATTCGTTCTTCACATAGCAGCTGCTGATAGATTGAACTTAGTAATCTCGAGTATTCTTGGTGTTAGCTATTCGCTGCTTTTTAATAACGTTTTGGTCACTTTATTACGTAATATATTAATCCTAACACGGTTTTTAATATGCACATGAAAAACATGTGGCTTGGACGAGATTCGAACTTGCACCTTCGGGTACTAGTCCGCCGCTCTACCTGTTGAGCTACCAAGCCCACAGGGATTGGACACGAGTCAAATCTCTTTTAAACTGCGTATGGACGAGAGATTCTTGCCACGCTAACAGTTTACTAGATGGCACCGTGTTTCGACTTTATTCCAAAGCCATCATCAGAGTATATACATAATATATTAATCACATCATTATTACGTAATGAATAAAGGTTGCAGTAGAAACAACTGGTAGCTATCATCTTTGCAGAAACCGTTACTGTAGAAGAATCCAATGTTGTTTAGCCAAATTTCATAGATTGCAAAGAAAATAATCATGTACATTTTGTAATTATGATTTTTGAACGAAAACGTATCACATCATTTGTACATAGAAGCTAAGGTCGAGTTTTAGAAGATAAATGTGACTAAATGCACCAACATTTTTCGTTTGAGCAATCCCAGGTGTCACTAACTAATTATTTTGTGAATCTATCTGCTATAAAATATATTACATGGATTTAATGAAATTTAATAGCCTGAATAAATGACATAAAGCATTGACACAGTGCAAGTTTATTGCCAGGTTAATCACAACAACCAAAAATACGCGTTTTTTACTACTTGATAAGATGCACGCAATTTTCATACTTCAACAACATTTTAGAAACATAAATTCTTTTTGACAGGTTTGAAAGCATTAAGACAAGCTACATAACATATTTTACAATAGTAATAAATATTATAAGGAAATCAAAGTCAAGAACGCAAAATTTTATGAGAGAGTCATTTACGGTTTGATTTTCATTTCACCAAACTTCATAGAACCACCCCAACTACTCCACCATATACGATTACTGCACAGCAAGGCACTATAACAATCATTATACCACCAACCACCTCTATATTGTTTAGCACAGTTCGCATTATTACGTTTATCATTATCTGAATCTTTTGTCGTAAACTTCATGCCATTATGCCAGGAAAATGAATTTCCAACATTTCCTAAAAAGTAGTAATGTCCCTTTATTTTTGTTATTTTACAAAGTTTAACCATAATAAATTCATAAGAGAAATAAGTTTGTCCGCAGTTTGTTCGAAATCGAAGTGCATGCGATGCAAGCAAATTATTAGAACAATACTAATAAAGCATTCCATCATATTTATTAAAATCCAGGATAACGCTCAAAAGGTTATCGTCCTACCATAAAAGACAACCACATGTCATACAAGTTAATCTCAAAACCTTCGGCAAATTGTTTCTTCCTTTATAACATCTAATATCTTGTCATAAGTAGCAACAATAGATGAAATGCTTAAAGTGACTCTTTAAACAAATGGTGATAAAGTAACCAAACTAGTCTTGGCTAAAGAAGCATATAAGCACTAACTAATAAATAATATGCAAGGTTATATCTTGTTCGTCTCGATATAATAATAAATAGGAAATAACATTTAGCACCTGGTGGTAAAGAATGATACTTATATGATACTTATAAAATAGTCAGTGTTTGTATTCGTCTAAACGAACATTCCAAAGATTAAACCATTCTCCACAAACTGAAAATACTGCTTTGGTAGACCATCTCCAAAGATGGTTCTTGATAAATTAATGTACCTTTCGGCATAGCCATTTAAATAACAGATAAGAATTTATTTAAAGAAACGTTTCGTCTTTACACTAAAAATTGTCTGTTACTTTCTACATCCAACATATTATCTCATACTAACACATCAGGTCATAGAGTTTCCTTTGATGACTCCACTATCCTCTTTTTATCACCCTACCACAGACGAATGATTATGCACAAGAGTCACTAACGTGTGCAACACGTCCCCACGTCAGCCACTCTTCCAACAAGTTAATCATAGGGTATCTCACCATTAAAACTCCGTAAAATTACATGACGTCATTTATGAAAATGAATTCGAGAATATTTTGACTTAAGAAATGACTTCGGATCATTTTATGAAGGTTGGGAAAAGTAAAAGATCCTTATCGACTGGCTGGAATAATGGCAGCCGATATGCGCGTAACAACATGCGTGAAGACAAAAACATCAAAAGTTGCGACACGAGTGACCCTTCAGTATATTTTTATTCTGTGACCTTACTCCCCTAAATTAATGATCTATAAAAGCTCTTTGATCTCTAAACTCACATCGTCACTGAATTGCAAGACATTTCCATCTTAGAATAGTGACAAGGGATATAGCAGGTGGAAAGTGAATTCTTATAATATTTATCAAAGCCCAACAGAGTGCTTTCAAAAATATAGTAAATACAAGAATATATGTATGAAAAAAGAAATTTTTCACTAATGCACAATAACTTGACAAACGAAAAATGAATTTCGGATTCAGCTTTTGCCGACATGCTTTTTTAATTTCGGAGGAAAACAAATGACGAAATGGTACACGCATTGGATACACATATCGACACTCATACCAACGTACTGATGAACTAGAAAGAACTCGGTTATTGGAAAACGCTTTAAAGAATCGTACGGATGCATGAAACCTGGTCGGCTTGAATTTTGTTCCTTATTTATATGTATGTATAATTTACGTCTGTGCGTCGTTTATGTTTCAAGATATTTTCCTATCTGTAAATGCATTTCTTTAATTTTTAAGTTAAGTTCACAACTACAGCGCAAATAGTTGCAATCGTGACCTTAAAAACCTTTAAATTTTTTATGTTCATTCCTTTTTTAAAAGTTCTCATGTAAATATGTAAACATTGCTTGAACATAATGCACGAACCATTGAAACGTCACAAATTAAAATTTACACCGCTTTCATTCGTTTCAAAATTATAGCTTTTTACATGAACCCCAAACGTAGAATCTGTCTACGCTAACAACTTTCATCAAATGTTGGTGGATGTAGATCATCTACGTTAGTAGAGTCCAGAGAAGGACTGTTGGTACTGATGTTGACTGACGTTTCGACAATCTTAGCGGTAGTCATTTTCAGAGTCAAATGAGGTGTAAACGTCAGGTTAGACGTATTTGTTATCTGGTTCTTACGTCATCGTATTGTGTGTACAGAAAATGTGTAAGTGTGTGGGTCTCAATTGTGTATTGTTATCGTGGATTAGTCTAAAGTAATGTGTTTGTTGCTTGTTTGTTTGTATTGTGAGTGAGGCCCCGTCCGCACGTTTACGGATTCGTTTGTATCCGCAAACATTTTGTTGCGGTTACGCTTAGCGTCCACCCGCATCCAGCGAAAACGCATATTGTGATCGCAAACTGTTGAAAACGGTCTCCAGAGTGAAAAATTTTGAAAATGCATCGAAGCCGGACACGTTTGGACGCACTGTAACCGGAATGATTTAAAACGCTGACGTAACTCGATGAGATATAATATCTACACACCCACCGCTACCGGCTACCCTAATCCAATCCACATTTATCATGCGTTATCCTATGGATTAAAATAGTGCCTAAAGTGTTTCTTTCGATTTTACTGCGCTATTTTTGAGCATAGTTGGGTTTATGCAAATGACTATTGCCGTCTGAAATTATCAAAAGAATTATGAAAGCGAATGAATCAGATACGGCTCCTTTCAATGCCAGTTGACAGAAATGTGTCATTAAACACTTTCGCTATTTTTTATTCGAAAATGACACTGAATAAAAGGTCCACTTTATCATCTGTCCACGAAAACATTCATTCTTACTTTTTTCTCTGATAACCTTTAAGCGGTAGTATTTGTCGGATAATTTATAGCCAGCTCATTATTCGTAAAAGCGCATGCTCTGTAAGCAATAATTTGGTATTTGCATCGTTCTCGCAGCTACGTGTGGACACACAAAAACGCATCAAATTTGCATACATGTGGACGCGTAAAGTTTTGAATCCAGAGCAAAATGTTTGCGGATAAAAAACGAATCCAAATACGTGTAGACGGGACCTGAGTCGTTTGTAAGGTGCCGGTAATTGCTGTTATCTGTTCAGGGGGTTTGTTCTAAGTTGGTATACCAACTTTCTAATGTAAGCCGTTGTCTATAGTCAGGGCTGTAAGCAATAAATTTTGCTAAAATTCAGTCAATGTTGTGTTTAGTCAGTCGGTGATGTTCGGCAACAGGATTCCTTTTCCTTGTCCCTGTGTAGCTCGTTTGTGTTCAGTAAGTCTTATGTTTAAGTTCCTGCCAGTCTTCCCGATATAGGAAGCGTGGCAGCCGGAGCAGTTTATTTTGTAAACTGCACCTTGTCATTAAAATCACTATCATTAAAACTAACTCTTTTTTGTCAAATTTTTTTCATACCTGAGTGATTTCCAAGACTCAACTGATATTTATGTGCTTCATTCTTTACAGCAAAATAATCATATGCAGCATATCGTTTGATTCCTGACTTGTTTGTCAAATCAATACGAAGTTTATTTTTTCTTGCAGTCGTTAGTCGGTATATTTTGTCTAATCCAAGCCAGAATTCGCCTTTCAGATCACCAAATCCTTGTTTATACTCTTTCCAGTCTCGATAGAAGTTTTCGCCTTTAAGTTCATTCCTTTGCAACACAGTCCAACCACCACCAGATGACGTCATGTCACAGTAGACTTTGAAACTACCTTGACCATCAGGATCAATTTGATAAACTCCGCTCTTGTTTTCACCATTCTTGTAGAGATCTGCGCAGTCTTTTCATTGTAAATTAGCAGAAATAAGTAATATACCTGTTTATATCTGCCATAATATGCATTACTTATAATAATAATTAAATGTCTCTCCAGTCTTTTTTAATCATTCTTACCTTTTCGTGATTTTCCAGTGAGTTTGCTATTTTCCAGATAAAAAGTTTTCAATTGTTTGCCAAGATTTTTCACCTTTGCTTGAATGGGCGCTATATGTGCAGCAAGTGCTTTTATTTTTAATGACAGTTTGATAATTTGTAATTCAAATTTTTTTTTTTTTTTGACGTTTGTGCTTGTGTTTTATTGATTTTTGATTGAAGCATTAACTTAAAAGTTTTAAGGTATTTGTCCTGCGTGTGTAAAGTTTTCTGATATGTTTGAAGTTTTTTTAAAAGCCCTTTTAGTACTGCAATTTGTATCTTCAATTTTGAATTTCTTTGACTAGATTTCAAGGAGCGTTTCATGTCGAGGCTGGGTGCTGAGAAATCATCATTTAAATCATCTTCTTTTTCATTTATCAAACTTCCTCTGCTGAAATGACGATATAGGACATTCAAAAACTCATATCATGAAATTTCTCCTATTTTAATATAAGAGGGACACTCTAGCAGCTATATGTAATGAACGGGCCTTATTAATTGTGTTTCAAAAATCATTTAAGGCCCGTTTCGAACGTCGCATTTTACATGAGCCAAATGCATTAAAACAAAAGATAGTTAGAAAATTAATCTAATTTTTTTTTGTCTTCAATGCATTCGGCTCATGTAAAGTTCGACGTTTAGAAGGGGGCTAACTTCGAGCTCGAGACATGTGTTTCCTAACCATTAAGCCAATGAAACTCAATTAAGGAAATACGGCTCAAATCGCTCATCCTATCTCTAGAATTTACAATAACTTGCTAATTTTTGAACAATTTAAAGAAGGGAAAGACGTCAAACAGTTCGACGTTGAACACATTTTGCTCGTATGTTTTTAGAAATGATGAGACAGTGTTTGATGATTGATCTATAAAGAAAGGAGCCAATGACTAGTTACTCAACAAAATTAACAGTTCACTACGGGTTAAAAAAACAAGCTGCCAAAAAATGCTAAAATTGTGATTGAAAAAAACAATAAACTGTGGCAAATATTATTAATCGTCGGTTTATTTGAACCAGTAATTTCCACAACTATTGAAACGCCTAAAATCTCTAACAGCAAGTTTGCAACCAGCTCAACAAGAAAACCAGCACCAATCTTGACAGTCAAACCTGCAAGCACTTTAATCATAGGATTTGCAACCATATCAACTATCAAATCTTTAATCAACACAGTCAAGACGTTTGCAGTTCTCTGTCAACATATGGACAGCCATCGTTACTTTAGCAGTTCTTTTGGCATGTTTGCCTTGCCGTGGCGACGGAAGATGTTTCTCATTGGGGAGGGGTTGGGGGGTGAAAAACAACTAAGATCTTGATAGGGGCGTGGCATTTTTACCTTTGTAGTTGTAGTCGAACTCACAAATAATATAATTTTTTGCTTTTTTCGCTTCGGTCCAGACTATTAAAAACGCTATTTATTTTATACTGCGCCATATTGCCATTGCATTTACGCCATGTTCTAATAAGAAATTTGGCGCAATTTTTTCCCTATAATTAACTCACTTAAAGTAAATGAAAGTCTATAGGAGGAGCCAGCTTTCAAAATGGCTGTCAACATTTAAGAATCAATCTATGTTGATGATTTTCCTTGTGAAACATAAACATATATTACGGGAAAATATTGATGAACGTAGCTCTTTGATTGGGAGGGCTTAACCTCCCTCTGAATTATTGGGATGACAGCAGCCCCCTTAGCCAGCCTTTCTGCCGCCCATGTTTCCTGTATGCGTAGGAATCCTTTTTTAATTTCAATCATTTTAAAAATGCTTTATCAAATTTCAAGGTAGTTTAATAAATCAAATAAGGAAATGTTTATTTCCATGTAATCAAAAGTTGTGTTTGCCCGGAACAGCCTTATTTTCGTTCCAAATTATTGCTGTCAATACCATTATGGGTTTATCACTAATAATTTCAAAACACATATTACTATGTCAAGTTGAAGCTCCATAGTGAATTATTGATTCAATACCAAAACATTCATTTGAAATTTGAAAACGGTATGCCTTGGAGATAAAATATCTACTGAAATTCTTTGACAGCATTTAAGAAAATTAATTATATATTGATTCGGTAAATTCTACTTCGAGCACAATTAATGCTTACCTTTGCACAACAACAGCCATGCAACTAATCGTCAGTAAGACATAAGTAAATTTCGCCATCTTATGAAAAGTAATCAATGTCCAAAGGCTTTGCATGTAGACAAAAATACTCAAGCTCTATTTATGTGCTTAGTTCAAATGTGCATTTTAAATTTATATTGTCCAACTTATCAATTGTAACGAGTTATTTCATGTTTGACTATTATGAATAATTGGTTAGTTTCAGCAGATAATTATACGTTGAGTTAATGTATTCGCGAATATTGTTGCCAGTGACATGCCAGGAAAGAAACCCAATTCTCAACATAAAGATTATAGCCCAGCAGATAGTTTTCAAACCAGCCATAGGCATTCGGTTTTATATCATTTATTAATAGCAAGTGACGTTTCGTCATGGGCTCTTGTCTTTATGTGGATTATTCGTGTATGTGTTCAGATCAGCAATACTGCCTCCTGCTGTCTCCAGAATTATTATCTTATAAATACGTTAAAAGAAACTGCTGTTAAAATGTGGATAAAAAATTTGTAAAATTGGGAGATGTATTATCTAAAGATCGCAAAAACGTTTAGAACAAAACAATGCGTACAATACCTCAAAGGCAAATCTATCTCTGTCAAGAAATTATATATAACTTATTGTGCACAAATTATAATTAAACTTGTAAAACTTTTTACTTGAACAAAAAACAAATATTCACTTCATTTCAAACAATTTTTCGTTTTGGCGGTTACAAGATCTGTTTGCATATACGATTTGATTGCTTCTGCTACAGCTAAAAAGAAATATTTAATTGTGGACACAGGCTCGCTTTGACGTCAAATGCAAACGCACTCTATTATCAATACTGACTTCAGTGTCTCTATTCTACCATTCTGTATTCAAATAAAGTTACTTAATGCTGACATTGCAGCAAATCGTTTTTCTAAATACACAAAAGATTTTAGTTGAAAAGAGAAGTAAATATTGATTAGAGATAGCATAATGTTACACTTTATCAACGTATGTCAAATCTGAATCAACGCATTAACATCACCAATATGTCAACATAATATATTGAAACTTTAGCGTATTAAAATAATTCCAATCATGTAATCATTGAATACTTGCTAAACGATTTTTTTCAGAACAAACTTTTGTCAATTTAGCTAACATGCAATCTATTTTTTAAACAATGGTCTTTTTAATTTATTATCTGCAATTTATTCATCCTTCTCTGACAAAGAAACTTTTAAAACGTGGCACTTTACAATACTGATTCTATTTTAAGACTTTAAAAAGCTAAAAGCCGACGAAAGATGTACGCGAGCATCGTAGTGCCAACATTATTAGAAAAGATTCCTGATTTAGTACGGTTGACGATCATCAGGGGCGATCGACGACTACCTTAGTTGGTCATTACAGTGATTTAGCAGTCAGGACGTTTCGTCAAAGACGTCGTGAAAATGGCGTGGCATGCGCTTTTTACATCCGGTTCAATCTACGACGGCAGTCGTGTTGACGACGACGACTTGAAAACTTACAATTTGGCGTCGTATCGACGACAGCTGAAACAAACTCAATTTTGGACAGAAACAAGGATATATCCTTCATATTTGCATCTTAAAATATTATATAGGCCTACATATATTTATCTAAAATAAAAACTGCAAATGTTTTGTTTCCTAAAACAAACAAGTAAACATTGCGGAGCCTAATCTAATTTGGGGGGATTTCCTCAGAGTCAAAACAATTTTATTCAAAAAGACGCATGTCGATGATTTTGCTTATATATATATATTTTTTTTAAAACAAATTTACTGCTGGAATTTTTCTATCAAAAAATTAGTTTAAAATGATAGAAAAAACGATCCAGCAGGAAAATGCCGAAATGGACAAAGTCCTACAAAAGGTTTGCTAAATCATAAATACTTCAAGACGTCGTGGCGTCCTAGGCACAGATCTGTTGCGAAAATTTGACGACGTCTTAGACGAAACGTCGAGTTTACTAAATCACTCTATTGAATAAGATGCAGTCGAGTTTCAATTCAGAGACTACCGATTGATGCCGCGTGTGAGCGTGGACAAAACCATGCATGTAAGTTGACCGTAAGTTACAACATACTTGTCCGTAAGTTTGGCAGATTTTGTAAATGTTTGTCGAAGGGAGGTGTTGCTAGTAAATATACTGTAAATTATAAATGAGAGATTTGTCAGGGAATCCATTATAGTGCTCTTTGTATATGTAATAGCATGGTTTCGAGTGCAATTTGTAAAAAACATGCACGAGTGAGTTTTACAAAGACTATTAACATTGCAAGAGTCTGAATACAACAAATACAACAAATTACCACCAACGCACAAGTAAATTTTGCCATTTTGTTAAATATGATCGTTATCCACAAGCTTGGAGTGAGGACAAGATCATGGAAGCTCTATTTATGTATTTGGGTCAATTGTGTTTTAATAATTTATTGCCAACTATCGATGATGCATGCACGTAATTTCATGTTGAGTATTCATGAAGAATAGGGTGGTTTCAGCTGATAATAAAAGAGTTTAATTATTTGAGATTTGACAGTAGCCATTTTATTCTCAAAATTTCGTCCAATGAATTTGCACTATTACAAGTTCTGCTTGAAATTTAAACAGCTGTTATTTTATTCTCGAAGTTTCGTTTAAAACTACTAATTTTGCTTCTATTATATCGTATAGTCAAGCTTTGATGTCAATCGAACTTAAAGGCAAGGATTCCTGTTGTCACCAAAATGAAAGTTAACTTTACTATTTTTAAGAAATAGCAGTTTGTCTACAATCTTCAAGCTGATATATCGGATAGTATGTTTGGAACTTGTAGTCGGTTATGCGTCCTGTAGTTTGAATATTTAGTTTTTTGATGTATAAAACAGGAGAAATTTACAAATAAGCTTTTCATATTTCTACGCCTAAAACTCAACACAACACTATTCCTGCCCACAAGTGATTTGTATTCTTCTTTTGATATATTGTGTCAGATCTCAGCACGCATTTGACTTAAGTAATTTGCAGTAAGTAATTTGACTTAAGTAATTTACGACTTACAAAGAAGCTTTAAAACGTGGTACTCGATAGAGATCATTGTTAAATATAGCTATTTTGTGTGTATGCTTTTGTAGCAGTATAATGCATCACAAATTCATTTGTTTGAACCGTTGAACCATTCACAAAATAATTTACGCCACATGCATGCAGCTAAGCTATTGTGTACTCTTTAATTGTGTACTCCAGCCTTAACATTGAACTAAACTGGCGATAATTCTCCCAGGCTGTCTCCAGTATGAAAATTACTTTAAATACAACTTTATCATCTTAACAATTTTAGCAAGTGTAAAAATTCCAGCTCATAAATTTTCCACGTACATTGAAGGAAATTGTTTCAATAAGACATAGAATAATTAGGAGTCACATGAGGTTTTTTCAAGATATCGTACGTATTAGAAATAATGAATACAAAATACATTCTTTTTTCAATATGGTCTATGTACAAAACGAAACTATCGTTTTATTTGCAGTCAATATCGCCAGCATGCCCCTGTTGGTCCTGCTGTCAAAGTTTCTATGTTCACTCACTGCAAAAACAATTGATTTTTTAAGACATAAATAAGTTGAAATTCACAAAGCTGGACTAAAACTTGAGAACTAAAAAACTAAACATCGCTTACTTTCATTGCGATAACTTAATAACTTTCACTTTGTTCTGGCAAATACGTAGTGTTACATAATTTATTGTTGGTTATTAGTCACATGACAATATTAAGCCCAAAAAGGACACACAGTAGCGAAAGGAAAGTATAGCGGTTCAGGAAAAGTTTCTAGTTGTAGGACGATAGGCCAAAGAAGTAAAGTTTTGTGTTGATATATGATTAAATCTGTTGTGCTTCTTTTATATACCCAATGTAATTTTAGATCGATTAAATAAATATTATCTTGATACTTGGACAATGTTGGGCGTCCTACAATTACCTTATAATACGCATACATTTCTGATGCTGATAAGCCACAAAATTCGAGTTCTTATGCTAACCTGGGCTTAGAGGTTATTCAGAGATGACAGAGAGGGTAAAGGAAGAGTAAAACGAAGGAAAAAACGCCGAAGATTGGCGGTTTGTATCTGATCAAGTCACACAAGATGTCTCAAAGTTCCGAGCCATAAAGAAAAAGGAAGATGCCAGGTTTTTTGATTTGGTACATTTGGTGAAACATAGCTTTAATACAATGAAAGGGATTTGTAAAGCAAATGACATGGACAACAATCATATATTGTCATTAACTGAACAAAAAATGAGCATTGAAGATAGAAAATTTTGGGCTCGTGACTTGGACAGAGAAAAGAAGAAGCTTGTCTTAATAGCCTGATATCTTGAATGGAAGCTGGAATGAAATCAAGAATGTGAGCAACAGCTCCATTTCGTAATCACACTGGGAAGTATATTAATCACATTTCCATATCCAAGTCACTCAAATGCTGCTTGTGTAAGAGTTCAGATCATTGGCTCAATGAATGGGAAAAATTAAAGGCTAATAGATATGATGAACGTTTAAAGTTGGTAAAAGAGAACCATGCATGTTTTTGCTTTTTAAAAATTGTAAACGACGAAAGCTGTGTACACACAAGGTTAACGGAGGACAGTACAAATGTTACCATCATGTTCCTTTGCATCCAGTTAACTCTCCAGCATCTATCGGTATAGCATCACTACCACACAAGACGGAATCATTATTGCCAGTTATTACCGCTCAGATAAATGGTAAGAACAAACAACAAAAGCATTCAATCATCCTTTTGGACATTGGTGCCCAAATCAGTCTCATTCGCAACAAAACGGCAGAAAACCTTGGGCTGACTGGAAAAAACGTTTGTATTAGCATTAAGAAGACTAGTGGTGAGCAAGAACACATTACAACCAAAGTATATCAAGTGTCACTCACGTCCTTAGATTCTTGAGCAAAGTTTAGCATCAGAGCTGTTGCAATACCGAATATAAATGATGACGTTACGGATGTAGATATTCATGGTATAGAATCGATCGCTGATTGGAATCGACCATCCTTACATGCACACTGGAGGTAATAGAAAGGCTGAAGGTATCGTAGCACGTCATTCGCATCATTGGACTCATTC